CTTTTATTCTTGTAAGCAAGAGATTTCTAACTTGAAAATGTTCTAACCTTGATTTCTTAGAAGAGTAACTATAAACAAGGCAACCTGTTTTACCATTACAAGAATCCTTACCTCTTCAAGATTGGTAGACGTTTCTTCTCTCTGAGTCAAGGATTAAAATCATGTAGTGAAGTTTGACTATTCGGGATTTTTTCCAGATATAGTGTTCTGAGAGCTCTTTTAATTAAAACAAAACAACAACAAAAAAACCCTCCCCCTACTGGTGACTTAAAAAGATCCACAGGTGAAAAATTGTAATTGCTTTGAAATCTAGTAAGACGTAAAGCGTCTCTGGTTCTTATTGATTTTCACAGTAGGTCAGGAATGGTATTATAAGAATGAGCATTTCGTTTGAAGAACCGTAGAATTAGAATTAGAAGGAAGGAGGGAGAAAGAGACAGGGACAGACAGCGTTGTGTAGGATCCGCCCTGCTTTTAAGTGCTGAGAAAAGGCAATATAAATTCTACTATATTAGCTCATATTGTTTAAACTTTCAAATATAGCGTGATGACTCTTTCTTCAAATTTATGGCAAGAATAGGCAAAGGCTTTTCCCAAAAAGTAAACAAAAAAATCTGGCTTGTCAGCTTCTGCTCACTGAACTTACAACTGCAGGAAGGAAGCCTCCAGGGGAGGGGCCTAGAGCTCCCTCCACTTTCATGAGGTTTTCAAACAGGTCCGCATCAAGGGAATATAACAGGTCCCACAACGGCGTTTGAAATTCAGATTGCAGCTACCTGCTTGTTTCCTTGGTTGGAAGACGCTGTAACGCGAAAATGTCTGGGCGAGGTAAAGGCGGCAAAGGGCTGGGTAAGGGGGGCGCCAAGCGCCACCGCAAAGTCCTACGGGACAATATTCAGGGCATCACAAAACCCGCCATTCGCCGTCTAGCCCGCCGTGGGGGCGTCAAGCGCATCTCCGGGCTCATCTACGAGGAGACCCGGGGAGTGCTCAAGGTCTTTCTGGAGAACGTGATCCGGGACGCGGTGACTTACACGGAGCACGCCAAGCGCAAGACGGTCACGGCCATGGACGTGGTGTACGCCCTGAAGCGGCAAGGGCGCACCCTGTACGGCTTCGGCGGCTGAGCGGGGCCTCCGTCTTCTCTCCGGACTCCAAAAGGCCCTTTTCAGGGCCTCCAAAATATCACGAGGAGAGCTGTTGACATTTTGTAGCGTAGGACGCGTCAGATCTTGAGTGTGGCCAGAACGGTGCCGTAGGCGAAGCGTTTCCCGTGCCACGAGCAGGACTGCGCGAAGGAAGCAGCGGCTCCGAATGAGGCTTTGGGCTGGGGGCAGGGGGAGCAGCGCCGCCGCGTGCTTCGGAGGAGCTCGGGAAGCGCGGCGCAGGACGGTAGCGATTGCCTTAGAGAGCGTCTCTACCCTGTGAAGCTCAAGGTCAGAAGTGGTCCCCGACTGCTTAGTCCGGAGCCTCCCCCACGTACAGGGTGGCGTCTGTGTAAATCCCAGCTTAGCCAACCAACTTCCCGCGGCCACAGGAGGCGAGCGCCCGGCGGCCCAGGGCGGTTCTCCGGGGGGAGGCAGCGCCCAGCATGGAAGCGCCACTACCCGCAAGTCCCGAAGCGCTAAGTGCAGCGCTGGTGTGGCGCGCTGGAGTCTTACTGGATGTGACTTATTTCTTCGCTGACATTCTGAGCGAGAGGTGACCAAACTCTGCTGAAATCAAGCCGGCAAAGTAGCGGCGAAAAAGTTGGGCCAAAGCTTTTGGGCCCCTGCAATTCCCGCGGAGCGGAGCGGAGCGGGCGGGCGTCTGGCCCGAGTACCTGGCGGCGGGCCTGGGGTTGGAGGGCAGTGCGGCTCTGGGGGGCAAGAAAAGCCGGATCCCCCGCCGGTCACAAGTGACCCGGTCGCAGCTGGGAGATAAGCCCTAGTTTTGGAGTGACGGCCCTGTTCAGAGCTCCCGTGGGGCTCTACAGGGGAGATGCGCGGCGGGTTGGGTTTTCATAAGGGAAAATGTGTGCGAGGGAGCTGTGTGGTCCTGCCCGGTGATCCCGTGGTGCGGCTGGAGACCTGAAGCCAGGTGGGCGGCCTCAGCCCGTTGCGCGCTTTCCGGAGCGTAGGGGAGGGGCTGAAGTCCCCGGGACCCAGCTGCGTGCGGCCGCCAGGGGCCGCTAGGGAGGCGAGGCGGGAACCGAAGTCAGTGCGATGGCCTCTCGGCGCCTGGCTCTGCCCCTCCTAGTCTCTACCTGAAGGAATAGTGAAGGAGGCTTAAGCGCCCGCGAATGCGGCGTGATCCATACAACGTTAACTAATCTCCCCCAACTCCAGCTTTTCTAAACGTGGAGAAGTCACTTAGCTTCCTGGGGTTGGTGAGCTGGAGTCGTTCTGGGGGAAGTTCCTGGCACTAGGGGTTAAGGAACTGGAACCAGGGTTTGAATCTAGCCCTGTTGGATTCTGCATCTCTTGATCTTAACATTAGAGGCCACCTCCTCTGCCATGGAAGCTCTCCTGTTGCTTTTTGCTGACATTTCACTTTGAGGTACTTTATCCTCTACTCCATAAAAACTCAAACGTGTACATGATGCTGATGGTGATTTAATTTCTAGGAAGGTGAGATATCCCAGAAGCTCAAGTTTTTTCACTACAAGTGAAAGATTGAGTTACTTAAAAGAAAAAGCAGTATCTGGCACTCTGCTGTGCCCTTAATATTTGTTGTGTGAACAAATGAGTGAATTGGATTTAGCATAAATGAAATTATTGAGGGTTGTATGACAATTCAAAATATCTATTAAATATTTCACTTATCTGGAGTTTAATTTTTTTTTTTGATTTTTAGTAATGTTCTCTATATTTGTACCTACCTAGTAAAATGGCTTACTACAAATGTTTGTTAAACAAAGAACTTGATTTCAAATCTTTAATGCCTCCCTTACAATGTGAATGGAATGTTGTTGAAATTATTAATAGATCCTGTAATAAAGTCATCCCTTTTGAATTCTGAACATTTATTTAATGCTTCTTTTGTGTCAAGCAGTGTGTTATCTTTTGAATATTCAGAGACAAATAAGCATAGTTCCTGCCACCAAGAAGCTCCTATCTTCCAAATAAAGAGAAAGGAAGGAGAAAGACATATGTAGTTGCACATATATAGTTTGCTCTAATAGAGTGGTATGAATTCAGTGCTATTCGTGTACAGAAGAACAAATTTTTTATGCCAGGCCTATGGGTATCTTCAAAGAGCAGGTGACATCTGTTCTGAGCTAACAGCAGTTTGAAGAAGGGAAGGGCCACACCAAGTTTGGGGAACAAATAGCATAAACAATTGCCAGAGTAGTTTCCAGGAGTGATGTGTTTGGGGATCCTCCTAATGTTGGATATTTAATTTGTCCTTTGCCCCGGAATAATGCAATGGACTGGGGAAACAGTTGGATAAAAATTGAAACCAAGTCCAAACAAGTCAATAGAAAAATGGACAAAAGACAATGGAAAAACATGGCCAATAAGTATAGGAAGAGAAGTTCAGCTTAATTAGTCATCAAGGAAATGCAAAGCAAGACCACAATGAAATAAAATTTTGCACTCAAGCAATTTCAAAAATTAACAAGTGACAATATCAACTGTAACAAAGGACCTCTTATATTGCTGGTAGGAGTATAAATTGCTTCAACTGTTTCTGAAACAATGGGTTGGCATTATCTTGTGAACTTTAAGATAGATTAAACATATATGCTGAAGCAGCCATTTCACCCCAGGGTATTTACCTAAGGGAAATGAGTGCCCAGGAGATACGGTCACTAAAGTTCTGTTCACTGTAGCAACAAGAAACCAAATGCACATTGATAATAGAGTGAATAAATAAATTATGGTGAAATGTTATTATATTTGTTATTATATGTTATATATTAATATATATGTTATATATAGCAGTCAGAATGAACTGTTAAATCCAATATGAGTTTATGGTGGTCTATGTCTAATGTTTCGCTCTGTATTTTTCTGTTGATACACATGAAGACTTGTCTTAATATATTTGGCAAAATTTTATTCTGAATTTTGGAGATCATCTGTGGGAGTCCTGAGAAACTAAATTGAGAACGCTGCCCTCCCGAGAGAATTAGCATTTGTGTATCCTTTGGGCCAGATGCTGCTATGTACTGGGACCACTTTAGCTGGTTTGAGTGTGCCAGCTTGATGGAAGAGTCTCAAGTTTTACTGCCTACAGGAGGCCCAAGGCTTACTTTCCAGTGCAACCCTAGATTTTATGCTTGCTGAACCCTCATCAGTTTTTGTTTCACCGTCATTTTATTTTTTACTTTTTGCCCTTTGGGAGAGTTTCCTTATTTTCTTGTGACCACAATAATGCAGCATTTGTGGAAGACGGTTCATTCAGATTGTGTTTGCCACACTGCTGGAAATAGATTTTGCTAACTATAACATTTGATTTTATATATCTTTCCTGACTAGTCTATGAACACCTTAAAAGTAGGAATCTGATTCATATGTGTACCCCTAGGACCTCTGGCCTAGAATTTTGAATACACATAGGTACTTATTGATGTTTTAGGGAAATTATTTATTTATTTGGATATTATGGTAACATTTTAATAAACTGAGTTACTTTCCATATATTTCTATTTTCTGAAAAATTATGTACCATGACAATTACCTGTTTCTGCCCTGGGGTAATGTTTTGGTTATATTTTCAGATTCTTTCACTATTTTTATTTTTGTCTATTTAGACTTCCTACTTTTTTCCTGAGTTAAATTTGGTAATTTTACATCTTTCTGTAAAGGCATATATTTTATCAAAAAATTACTAGAACAAACTTATACTCACATGGCATTTTCTTTTCTTTTCTTTCTTTTTTTTTTTGTCTCCTGGGTAGAGTACAGTGGTATCATCATAGCTCACTGCAGCCTTAAACTCCAGGGCTCAAGCCCTCTTCCTGCCTCAGCTTCTTGAATAGCTGGGACTACAGGTGTGTGCCACCATACCTGGCTAATTTTTTTATTTTTGGTAGAGACAGGGTCTTGCACTTGCTCAGACTGGTCTGTAATCACATGGTATTTTCTAATATTAAAAACTTTTGTGTCTATTACCTTGCTCATTTCTAACTTTGTTTTATCTTCTGATTGTATTTTTTCAGAAATTCATTAACTTCATCAAAAAATTATTAATTTATCCTCTTAGAGACTTTTAATTTTATTATTTCTTCTAATTTTCTTGATTTTTTTTTTTAGCAATTCTCCCATTTCCACAATTCATTTTAGATTCTTTATTTTTAAAATAATAGCATAATTTATGGCTCTCTATTTCTGTTACAGTGTTGGCCACATCTGAACTTTTGAAATGTTATAAGTAAGCTATAATTTTATTTTTCTTTCATCTTAACGCACTTAGTAAAGAGATTAAAATTTGGGGTAGTTGAAATGTTTTTCTCTTTTAGTTATCAATATTAATTTCTAGTTATAAATTCAGACCTGTGCAATTTTTTCTTTTTGGATATTGGCGTTTTATTTGTGACCAATGTATGAAACTATCTCACGGATCCTGGACAAGGAAGTGTAGTATATGCTTCAAAATATGACCTACATTCAATGTTGTTAATTATATTTTGAAAGTAAAAACTATATCACTGTATTTGTCTACGTGATGTATAGTATGCCTGACAGTATCGTGTTATCTCCTGCTATATTTTCATTTCTGTCAACTTATTGTATTTTAAATCATATTTACTTTATATAATTTGATTTCATATGAGTTACTATTTAAAATTCATGACTGCCATACTTTCTTTATAAGTTGTAACTTTTTTTTTTTTTGAGACAGAGTCTCACTCTGTTGCCCGGGCTAGGGTGCCATGGCGTCATCCTAGCTCACAGCAACCTCACACTCCTGGGCTCAAGCGATCCTCCTGCCTCAGCCTCCTGAGTAGCTGGGACTACAGGCATGCGCCACCATGCCCGGCTAATTTCTATATATATTTTTAGTTGTCCAATTAATTTCTTTCTATTTTTAGTAGAGACGGAGTCTCGCTCTTGCTCAGGCTGGTCTCGAACTCCTGAGCTCAAACAATCTGCCCGCCTCGGCCTCCCAGAGTGCTAGGATTACAGGCGTGAGCCACCGCGCCCGGCCTATAAATTGTAACTTTTATCAGTGTGAATAACTCTTTTTGTCCCTTGAATATCAGTTAAATTGAATTCTAATTAGTTATTTTTGTTTTTACCTTACCTCAGGTGCTATTTGGCACATGCCACCAAATATATTGATTGTCTAATTAAAATGTTTATCTCCCCCAAATTTTAACAACTTTATTTTGATTATTTGGAAAAATGTATAAAATATCTATATCTATTATTATAATTCAGGGAAAATCAAATTGTAAGAACAATTTAACAGTATACAAATAACATTGGA